CCCGCCCTGCGCTCGCGGCCCCGGCGCTCCCCGGAGCTGTGCCCGCCCGCGCGCTGCTGCGGGATCTCGGGGTGCGTGAGTGCTCTGTGTCGCGGCGCCGCGCGGCGGACACGGCTGTCCCCACCTAGCTGCGGAGGCCCTGGCTCCCGTGGCTCGCTGGTGGCTCTCCATCCTCTTGCGTCCTGGTCCCCTGTCTAAAAGTCTCTGGGTTTGATTTTTTTTTTTAACCCCTCCTCTGTCTGTACGAGCCTCCCACCCACCCGCAGTTTGTGTAGACCGAGCCTCTTCACTTCAGTCACACACACACACACACACACACACACACACACACACACACGGGCTTCTACTCTGGACCTTCTGCTCTTCATCCCTAGTCCTACCTCCCCAGCCCTTTGCGTTGACACAGGCTTCTTAAATTGACCAGGCTGGACTTGAACTTGTGACCCACCTGCCTCAGCCTCCCAGAATGGTGGGATTAAAGTTGTGTGCTACGAGCGCCAGCTTGTTTGTTGTACTTTTCATTAAATCCCTATAAAGAGTCTTGAAATGCTTTTCTTGTCTTTCTGTTTCCTACCTAAACTAAGTACCCAGTGTTCTTAGCCTTCCAGTTTTAATAAAATTTCTTTATATTTCTCACCAACTGGAAATACCATCAAACAAGTTACTGTATACCTACTGATGGAAGCTTTAGTTTTTAAGAACTATGCTCTAATTACCTATCAAAACTACTAGAAGCAGTTCAGGCACAGACTTCATTAAGCTGTAAAAATCTAGGATTTGCTAAAGCTCAACCTGCAAACAAAAGCGTAAAATTTGGAAATCTTACTGTCCTCTAATAAATATAGTTGTCCAATAAAAAATTTATGAATTTGATGTTTTATATGTTGCTGGTACATCATATCGGTTGCATCATTTTCCTGAGTGCTGTTGCTGTTTTTAATGAATGCATACAATTTCTGTTTAGATTAGAATTAGTATAACTGAAGAAGTATTAAGTTTTTGAATTGGGAAAAAAAACTTTCTCAACAGTTTCAGAAGTTTTTTCTCTATTTCGTTGTGATCAAGATTAGATTTCTTCTGTTTGATATAGAATCTTATTTATCAGGCATTTGTTAAAGCATTTGTTTTCAGTGAAGTTCGCTTTTATTCCAGGGTTGAAAATCAACTGAATTATGTATTTCATTTTGGAATCTCAAAGCAGTTGGCAAACAGTAAATTCTTCCTTACGTTATCAACGGCAGGTAGGAATTATTTCTGCTTCTATTTTAGGAAAGGAAATGCTAAGCTATGAGTGTGGTTCCTTGCTCCAAATGATTTAAAGGTAAAAGCAGCAGGATCTGATGATCAGGAAACCATACTTCTTCAGAAGAGCTGTTACTGTGCATGCTAAGAGGCGGTGAATTCCTTATCTTTTAGGGTTTTTAAACAATTTTCTCACGTGTACGTACAGATAAGTACTACTTCTAAAGGTTGCTCTCCCTTTAAAGGCAGATTTTTTTTTTTAATTTAGGTAGTCATTTTAAAAAGTCAGTACCTCCAAACTCTTCATATTATACTGAATTGACCCTATAGACTTATTGTATTAGTATATGCATTTGTGTTGTTTAACAGGCACAGGACTAGATGTCAAAGATTTCAGCTCTTAGAATGACTCATGACATAAGTTTGGGAAGCCACTTAACCTCTATTCCTCCACCTATAAAATGGGGATAATAAGGGTGGCCACCCAGTAATCTCAGTGGTAGTGCCCTAATCATTTGAATGTGCGTAGGGCCTCAGACCAAAAATAAATAAGTAAAAGCTTTATACCTACTTAATTTTTGTGTCTTCTTTTTGTTACATCTTTAGTCTTAGGCTATTAGCAAGAGCATAATTGCTTAAATCTTTCAAAATTAAGTTCCAACTTTCAGTTCTTTTAAAATTTTGGATTTCTGTGAACAATTTAGCTGAGTACTTATGAACTGTGCATTTGCTTAGAATAATGTTCATATACAGTGAAACAGACTGTAGCATTCAGTATGCAAAACAGGCTTTTTTTTTTTTTGCTCAGACTTGATATCAAAAGAAACTGTGAGAATTATACATACATCTTTGATGACCTCCTTAGTTTGCTGTTGTCTTGTATTTTCGCTTTGTTGTAAGTACAGATATTCAGATGTCAGGGTAGAGGGGTTAAGATATAGGACAAGGATTTTCATTGAGGAAAAACTGCTGTGAAGTGAGCTTCATGGCATGTGCAGTATATTTAAATAAATGAGTGAGGATATAACATATGGATTTGTTTTAATGAGTTTTTTCTTATTCCCTTCATTTGCTTGTCAAGAGCAAGGTTTAGAGATGAACACAGAATAAGAAGCAGAGTAGTGGTTTAGAATAATTGCATTCTTAATGGACCCAGTGGTTTTTCTGAAAAGTTACAAGTTGTTCAGCTGGTACAGGTTTTTCAGAAGGAATATAGTAAAGCAGTTACAGAGTAGGTGTCAACTTTGGGTTTTTGAGACAGGGTCTTGCTATGTAGTTCAGGCTGAGCTTGAACTCAACATGTGTCCCAGTATGGCCTTGAACTTGAGATCCTCCAGCCTCAGCCTCCCAAGTGCTGGTATTATAGGCATGTACCATCACACTTGGCTCAGTAGATGTCAAGATTTTGTCTGTAGCAATTAGTAGTCGTTATTTTCTTCCTGGGAATACTGAGCTACATCCCCAGTGCTTTTTACTTGGCTTTCTTGAATTGATGAGGCTGGCCTTAAACTCTGGCCTCTGACCTCAGTGTCCCAACTATTGGGATTGTAGGTATGTACCACCGCACCCAGCTAGGTTGACAGTTGTTAAGGAGTGCATAAGGTATTTGGTTATTAGTGATGTGCTAAATTAAAAATAAAAATCAGCCTCTTTTTCCTTAGCAGAAATATAAAGATGTCAGGCAAAGTATACTATCAAAGATACCTACTACTTGAGTAAACCATTATGTAGTTTTATTTTGATGAAACAAACTTTGTTTATAGGCTCTCAACCAAGAAGTCATTCTGGGAAAGTTGTAACATGTTGCCTTTTATGGAGGTAGGGTTCTATCAGTCCATTTAGAGTATAGAAAATCTTTCTAAATAAGGTCATCAATAGAAAACCTTACTGATGGTGTGAAACATCTCTGTTAACTCTTCTGAAGTGTCTTTTTACTACAGGTCATAATTTAATCTGAACTAGAGTTAGTATTGCTTTATGGAATCCCTTTGGATTTGCCTGATAGGATGCAAGTACATCATTCATGATTGATTTGTAGCATCTGGTACCTGCTCTTCAATGTCCTTAAATTGCCCGTAAGTTATAGGCTTCCCTTGGTAGTACTGCTATCTGAAACATCCAAGCTACCAAGTCAGGGCTTATTGGTAGGTATCTCTTACCACTTTTGTCTTTTGGAATTGAGAGCCCCACATTTTTAGACTGTCTTCATCTTTACTCAGGTTTAAGCCTTCAAATTAGTTCTCTTTGTTTGGGTGAATAAGGTTAGAATATAGGCTATCACTAATCCCTTTATGTGAATTTGTTTTGTGTGTGTGGTACCAGGGATTGAACTCAGGACCCTACGCTTGCCAGGCAAGCGCTTATCCTTTATGTGAAATTAATAACCATTTTGCCGATGTATAGAAGTGACATAAAAATTCTTCTAAAGGACCCCATTATGGTAGAATTCTCATACAGTCCTAAGGCAGAGGGAGCTAGAGAAATACTACTTTGGAGAGATAGTGGTAGAGAAAAATTCTTTTGAGTAGGTAGTTGAAATATTAAGTCTGTTTTTTCCTGGCTTTCTCCAAACCCAAAAAAGAACTTAGATTTTAGTTGCTGCCTTTTTCTTCAAGGTCATCTGACCTATAAATGAAAATATTTTCAAGCCATGCAGTTGAAATATATTTAATAGCCTGATTGCTTTGCATTACATGATTTTGAATAGACATTTTCTTGAATGGAGCCATATTTAAAACTGGCATAAATAAAATCACAATTTGAGTACCATATTCCAAGTGCCATATTTAATGCTCTGTGTATATTACCTGAAGTTAGTTGGAAATTAAAAATGCTATTTCCATTTGAGGAAACTGAGCATTGGGTGTTCGGAGGCAATCCAGGTCTTCCTGACATCAGAGTTACTGGTACACTGAACAGACACAAGGAAGTATAAAAGAATCACTGTTTCTTATATTTTTTAGGAAGTAGATTGTAGTGTTTGTTCTAGTTCTCAGCTTTGATTTCTGTAGAGATAATGAATAAGCATTTTGAGCATCCCTTGGCAGATCCAGGGTCGGGTAACAGATGACGGCTGTCTTTGTTAGTCTCTTTCAGAGAGGAAAAGCAGGGCCTTGGTAACTTGGGTAGTCTGATGTGTTTAAGGTGTATGATAACATGGCCTATGCAGTTGTATCCTATACTACGTTACTGGCAAGTTTAGCTGATACTGAAAATTTTGTATAAGCAGCTATTAGTAAATTAAATCTTACTTTCCTAATGCCCAAATAAGATCAGAGGTAGCTTTCATTAAATGTCACATAATGAGCACTCATTTTTTTCCTTCTGTTTCTTAGTTCTCATATAGGATGTGAACTATGGAAATACTTTTATAGATTACTACGGTTCCTTCTGAATTGTTTAATTTTTTTCTGTAGTTTTTTTTACAATACTGTTATCCTATATTGATATTCTTTGTTTGTTTGTTTTTTGTGAAGGCGTACTTCTTAGTGTAAGTGTAGTTTGAAGGTTAATTTCCCTTTTGTTTGTTTTAACTGTTTTTTGAAACTGGATCTCATTTTGTAGTGCAGGCTGACCTTGAGCTCACAGATCTGCCTGTCTCACCCTCCCAAGCGCTAGTATGACACGCGTCTCCGTTATGCCCAGCCTGTATTCTCTTTTAATAGACAACTGTTTAAACATAAATTTTAAAGAAATTAAAAGTAGTCCCCTTTTGTGGGACTGTGGGGGGTGAGAAATTTGAGGAGTTCATAAATAGGGAATAAGGTTAATTATACCAGGAATTGAATATAGTTAATTTATTGTGTAATTTTTTACTTCCACTAGTGTTGCATTCTGATTTCAGTTCTTCTTTGGATAGGCACATTTATCTCAAGGCTTGATGATCATTAGATGTTTTGTTTTTTAACAGACTAGCTATATAGATTTAAAAAATTTGCAGTTGCAAATGTTTGTCTTGAAGTTTGACAGCCTTGAGTTTCATAAGCGTTTTCATTATTTTTTTATTGTATGTCCTTGGATAAATTATGTAAGCTTTTTGCTTTGTAGTTTCCTCACCTGTAAAATGAAGCATTAATAGCTCTTTCAGATTTTCAGTTAAATGAAATCATGTAATTAAAACTGCTAGTAAGAATTTGCACAGCAACAAGTTTTAAGTGCCTATAGTTGCTATTGATCTACTATCAAGCTGTTTCCATTATCATTCCCTTGGAAGTTTTTTCCTCTATGTCCTCACTGCTTTTCTGTAATGATTCTGGTATATACTCTGCTTTGTTGTAAATCACTTTCTTAACAGATGTTACTGATAGAAGTGTGTTGTGCATGTGAATGATGGTAAGTAAAGAAGAAGAGGGTAGAAGCTGTGTGAGTGCTGGTGCTCTATCTTCAGGGCCAGGCAGCGACAGGTGGCTGGCCGTTCAGGGATGTAATCCAGTGACTGGGTATGCTCAGCCCTGACAGGAGGAAGCTCACATGCATGAGTAGTGGTATCCTGACCTGAGCCAGCTGCACAGCAGAACTGAATGTAATTGAAGAAATAAGACTGTGGCTCAGTGTTCAGGATGAACTAACCAATGCAGATGTGGCCGGCTCGAGGGGTCTGAATTTATAGAGTCACAGGACTAGTGCACATGTCAGTAGCTGACTGTATTCAGTTTATTGCTGCATGGTCTGACGTGACAAGGTTAGCTTGGAGTTCTGCTGTGATAGGATGTAGGAAACATGGAGGCCAAGTAGGTCTTCCTCCGAGACCTGACTTCTTCGTATTCCCCTTGGTCTGCTATGCACATGACTTTCACAAGATTCGGCTGCTCTTCACAAGAAAATGGCACCCTGAAGTCTTGTAGGGTTGCTCTTAGTTTATTTAAGGCTTCTTGCATATTCCTTAGGAAAGGCACAAGAAAATAGACACAGAATGTAGCTGCCACTGCATGCATTGAGGTAACCTCTTTCTAGACCTAGAGATCTCTGTTCCTCTTACCTTCCTAATTAACACACCTGGATAAAGAACATGGTAGATGTTCTTCCCCTTGTTGGTTCTGGATCCCAAAGTGTTCCAGAACCACCTGTCCCTTACAGTCTGATGCCTTCAGCTGATCACGTGTGACTCTGTTGTTCATTCATGTGACTTTGGGTTTGTCTGTCATAATGTGAGCTGCTTGCTATGTTGAATGTGCACCTTTATGTATTTTTTTGTTTAATATGGACTCTAAAGACAAGTTTACTCAGCTAGTATTCATCTGAAAAACTGAACTTTTTCCTTAATTGGAAGGAAAGAATGAATATATCATACTTTGTGAGAAATAATATGTCAGTTGTCAGTAAGGAACCTTTCAAAGGGATTTTAAGCATTGCTTGGTCTACAGGAGCTGTGTTCCTTACAGGTGGTATCTTTAGGGCATCATTATTTGGGCCACCAGTACCATTAGTTCTGGACTCGTCCCACAGTCACTAACTTCTGAGCAGAATTCAGAAACTGGAGCTCTTGCCTGCATAGTTGATGGAAGGGGATTCCTTTGTTTGTGAGATTGACAACGGGGTCTGGAATCTACTATCTGTCCCACTCCTAGAGGAGACTGAATCTTCTAAGGACTTATAGTTGGAGAGTCAGGCTATTCCTTGACTGTTGTCAGGGGAATCAGTCATTCCCTGTGGTGTCCAGTGCATCTCAGAGACCTCTGAGCTGTTTCTCTTAAGTTTCAGGTGTTTCCGCATATTCTTTTACTTTTCTGTTTTCAGTACTGAACCCAAGACCTGTGCACCGAGCTATATATTCTTAGCTATTTTGAGTCTGAGTTTTCACATAAGTTGCCCCAGTGGGATCTGAGCTTGTGAACCTCTGCTTTGACTTCCCAGAGTGCCTCTTCAAGGTTCTGAAGCTCTACTCACAAATTCACTTGTTCAGGGTGGTGTTTTAGAATCTGTGGATGATGCAGAAGTATCTGCCACCTCTTTCCATATACCCTGTGGCCGTGCTGTGCTTCTGAATATGGAATGCCTGTCAGAAGATCCGGTAGAATAGGTGTCCCAGTAGTCCCAGTAGTCCTTGCTGCTCTGCCTGGAATTGCACACCTCTGTATTTCTGAGGCAGTTACTGTCCATGCTAGCAGTTCTTCTAGACTGTGATATCCAGTAAAAGTATGTGATATGTAATTAAAAATTTTTAGTAGCCACATTAAGCAAATAGGTAAAATTAATTTTGATAATCATTTAGCCAAATATAGCCAAAATATTTTACTATGTGATCAGTATGAAGACATATAATGAGATACTTGTTCTTTTTTGTTCTTCAAAATCCATTACATACACTCACAGTATGTCTTAGTTCGGTACTTTTTTTAGTATTCTAGTTTTTAATTATTAAAATAAAATGCAGTCCTGTCAAAACAGTACAGCTATTTTTAATGGGAAAATAACTTTATATTACTTCAATGTTAGACCTAAATTTGAATTAATTTAAAATTAAATTAAAGATTTGTTTCCTTAGTCACATTTCAGTTGTTCAGTAGCTGCATGTTCCTGATCAAGTTGGACAGAGCAGGTCTACAGTGCCAGAAAGACTTTCACATGGCTTAGTGACTTTTTTTCTTTGTAAGAAAGCTTGCTTTTCCTCAGGGGTAATGCGGTTAACCTTCATCTCTTTCACACTGTCAGGTTGGATTGGCAGAGAAGTCTCCTCCTGTCTCATGTACTCTTTTCCCTTTTGAGGCTCCTCCCTCTTCAGTCCGGGCTTGCACTTTGCACAGCTGAGTTACCTGTTCGTGAAGGAGGAAGTCACCCCCTGCCAGTTGCGGTTTGGATGACCCTCACACTGCTTGATCTTAGGCTGCTTTGCCAGGACTAAGAGAAGGAACGTGGAACCTGAGCCAGAGCCCTGAGCTCTGGGCGCCCCGCTGACCGCATGCGTGTGGCGAGACGTGCAGCTCCTCGGAGCTGCCGGCACTGCTTGCATTGCTGTCTTCCACGGTGATCTGAATAAGAGGAAGAAACCCTTTCTCCAACCTCTTCAGTTCTTGAGAGGCAAACCAAGGCTTTTCTGGGTCTGCCATGGGCTTAAGAATCTGTGATAAGTCAGAGATTTCAGAATGAGAGAAAACAGAATGCATTTGCTCTGTGGTTGAATTTCAAGCCTGTATCCTATTTGTTCGTTTTTCTTCTTAGCTAGTTGACAGCATCTAAAATTAAAGTTTGTCTTTAAAAGATTGGCTCCCAGCGTCCTCTTGAAAATGTGCAGTCGGCGATGTCGGGCCAGTGAGGATCACCAGGCCAGGTCCCTGCGTTTTCTTGCTGCACAGCTGCCCTTGGAGACTGAACCCCGTGAGTCCGCCCCGTAGCCGTGCGCCAGTTCGCGACAGGAGAGTCCCGGCAGCTCCACTTTTGCTCTAGGCTGTCCTTTACATTTTTCTCTTCTTTTACTAATGCCTTTCTCCTTTCCTTTAGTTGCTTTGATTTTTAAAAATTCTAGCAGTTCTTGTTTCCTGATTTGGGGGCAGGGGAGGTGAAAGCCAGCAATGGATCATCATCTCTCTTTCTAGCTGCATGTGCATGCTTCTGCTTAGGGAGTTCTCTGCTGAAAGGGAAAGGTTGGAAGAAGAGTAGACACCAGCCTTAGAGCACACAGCACAGAAGGACCCAGGAGTGTAGTGCGCAGACTCCTGGCAGGCTACACTTGTACCAATGAAGGGAACATTTTCTCCAGTGCTGGGGACTGATACCATGGGTACTCTGTTACTGAGCTATATCCTTGTCCCTTTTTATTTTTTGTTTTGAAACAATTACATACCAAGTTGCCCAGGCTGGCCTTGAACTTTCAGTCCTCCTGCCTCAGCCTCCTGAGGAGCTGGAATTACAGGCATGCATCTCTGCCCGGGCTACTGCCTGGGAAATGTCTGTTTTCAGTGTGTTAGTGTAATAATTCCCTTTTCAAATTAGTTCAATTTAAATAAAAGAAAAATAATAGTTAATATTTATAGAATCTTTAATGTTACTGTATTAAATATTAAATTAAGTACCTATCTGGCAGTGAATAGACTAACGAATTTTTTGCGTCAATAAAGATGTCATTTAGCAAAGAAAATATAATAAAGACATAAGTGAAATCATGGATGTGTTAGATGGACGTGGATATGTAGGAGATGAAGAAAGAAATGGGGCACCTAGCTTTGTAGGTTATTGTAAATAATTTCTTTTTTCTTTCTTTTTTTCCTTTTGGTGGAACTGGGGATTGAACTCAGGCCCTTGCGCTTGCCAGGGAAGCGCTTATTCTACTGAGTCATCTCTCCAGCCCCTTGTAAATAACTTTTATCATTCATTTTGCACCACTTAAGAGGAGCACAGTACTACTATTCCAGTAGTGTGGTTTTCTTTTACCTGGTATGTAGTTACTAAGCAAGTACCATATATAGTTTAGGATTTTGTTACAACTAAAATAATTCTGATATTTCTGTATTTATGAAGATGCCAAAGTAGTAGGGATCCAAAAATGAAAACAGCTCAGTGAGACAAGGTATTTCTCTTCTTTATTATTTCTCCAATACGACTGATTGGTGGGGTCCTGTGTTTCTCGAAGAGAAGATGAAGGTGAAGCCCCCCATCAGAGTCTTAGATCTGGCTCTCGAGTCCTAGGCGTGCTGTAATTGTGCTGTGTTTTCATACCTTCATCTCCTCCTGATGCCTCTTTGAGATTAGGATTTGAGACCAGAGACTGAACCCTCACTTGCACTGTGATGCTGCGATTCTCGGCCTACAGTGAATGTTCAGTTAATGTTTGAATGAAGCCTGTTTTCTGTCTTGACTGCACTTGAGGCATAAAGATTGACCACACTTGACTTAGAGCCAAAGCGTGGCTATGTGGAAAGAAGTCTTCACTAAGATGTTACTGCCATGCAGTGAGCATTAGCTTAGGTGAAGGTCACATGGTTTTGATTATTGATGGTTATTGTACATTATTGAGGAGGTAACACTGAGAACAGCAGCCTGGAAAGGGCCTGTAATGTCGTGACTGAGGAACAAGCTATTGAAGCGCTCACAGGGCCTCCCTTAACAGTCTTTGCTCCTGAGACCCTTACGCCAAGGGCAAAACACGTGTGTGTTTATTTTATTATTACTTTCTTTTTTTTTTTTTGTATTTTAGGGAAGGGTCTGCAGGGCGTTCAGGGTCTCACTACTAGATCAGACTCAGTGATTCTCCTCTTCACAGCCTTCCGAGTGCAGGGATTACAGGCGTGGGCCACCACACCCAGTTTCAGTTGTGTCTCAGGGCCCTGGGGGGGGGGGCAGCACGGCAGGCCCGGGGATCGAACCCCTGCCCCTGCGCTCGTGCCAATCCTCTGAGCCATTTGGCTGGCCCCAAAAGTTTGTATTCAAACAATATTTGTAATATGAGGAAAAACTAGCATTGGCAGTCTTTTTGTCAAAATATTTTAAATACTTCATTGTATGCACACATACAAATATACAAGAAACATTTTATAAATCATATACACCAACTTCTTTAAAGTGATAGTTTATATCTTAAAAACTTTTACTGTTTCATATTCATAAGGATTGCTGCTGAACCAACAAAGAAATGACTTACTGTACTGTACTTTGAATTATGTGTATGTAAAGTCTGTTAATGGTGCTATAATAATTGGTATTGGCCTTAGAAAAATTTAATTTATTTGTAGGCCATGTGGTATAATTTTTTATGTAAATTGAAAATATTAAGTAATGAAACGTAGGTTTCCTTAAGGTAAACTTTTGTGTATTGCTTCTTTAAGACCTACTATTTTTTCTCTTAGGAGGAACAATATGTTTTTAACAAGAATCAGTAACTGGAAATACAAGATTGATTATTTAATAATGTTAAAATGAAGTTTTAATCAGCGAAGGTAAGAAGAATATGTTATTTGCATATAATTTTCTATAGTTTGTAATATCTGCTAAATTTTAGTGAAAATTGTGAAGGGTCTGCAATTTTTATCCTACTTGCAAGTGAACAAGTTAGGTGGCTATGCAGCCAGGGCTGTTGGCAGAAGACAGGAGACACACAGATTAAAGACAGACAACTGATTAAAGTGCCTGCAAGCAGGTGCAGGGGCCAGAGGTTCGATTCCCGGGCATGGTGGCGCACGCCTGTGATCCCAGCTCTTGGGAGGCTGTAAACAGGAGGATCACTACAAGTCCAATCTAGTAGTGAGACCCTAACACCCTCTAGGTCCTTCCCTAAAAATACAAAAAAAAAAAAAAAGAGGACTGAGGCAGCAGTGGCTAGAGCCAGGTGTTACCTGCGTATTGGTGGCTTACCAAAAGGAGAGGAGCCCTGAGCTGATGGGACCAGAGGCTTTTTGTAATGGACACCTGACTTTTGCCTTTGAGGGAGACTTCTGTTCTAGAAGGTATGAGATACTATCTCTGACTTTAGGCACTATGCAAACATCCTTTAGAAGATGGTGTGGATGTTGTAAGTGTCTCTGCTTAGGAGATAAGCAGAGACTCCTGGAGAATTGTCTTCCAGCAATTTAAATTTCATTTATTTCTTTAAATTTGTGTGACAATACTCTGGTTTTTCTTCAACTCATATAAATCTTCCGCTGTACCATTTCCCCCCCTGGAACCAGGGATTGAACTCAGGCCCATGCGCTTGCCAGGCAAGTGCTTATTCTATTGAGCCATCTCCCCAGCCCTTCCCTTGTACCATTGATACGGATGATTGTTCCATTGACTAGCTAAAGCAGAATAAACTTAATTGGAAAAATTGGAATCCATAATTGAAGTTCCACCAATATAGAGTAGGAAAGCAAGGAGAGAAGCTACTGTCTCAGAGTATAGGGTAATGATTCCCAGAAGTCTATAGCTCAGAAAACATTTCAGGGCTTTGGGGTGATACGTGAGTTTCTGAGATTCAGTAGAAATTATAACCCCTGGTCTGAGTTGTGGAAAACATCTTTTGTATGTGAAACTATCAAGGGTATGCTTTGAGATTTGCAGTTAAGAAATTAAAACAAGATCGTGCTATAACTATTTGTAATTTGTCTGCCCCCACACTAATTGTATATTGTGAACATTTGTTGTGTAATAAATACGGTTCTCTAAAGTATTTTTGAATCCCTTAATAATACTGTTCCTTTTAATATTTGTTGTATAATGTAATCTTTCATTGTATATTCTCTTAAAATATATAGTACTATGGTTTACTGGATGTATCTACAAAGCCTCATAGGGTATGATTCTCTACTTACCAGTAGATTAGTCCCTTGATAAGTTTAATGCTAAATGTGATATTGAGAGATGTAGTTTGGCTTACAGACTAAGGAGGTGGGTCCCTGGGTGTGTAGCCTAGAAAGGTATGTCTCCTTCCTTTCTTGATCTGTCTCTCTGCTTCCTGCCAGCCATGGCAGAGATATTTGTCCTCTGCTTTGCTTCCCTGCCTTTAAGCTAGCTATGTATTGAAACTTATATAAACTGAGTCAAAATAAACTTCCACCTTACAGATGTGAAAGAAAAAAAAGAATTGGAAATGTTTCTTTTTGTTCATCTATTTTTTGAGACCTCTTTGTAAATTAGTACCTTAGGCTTTTATAATAAAGGACAAATATTTTTAAGTTAAAAGTGAATAGTTATTTATAAAGTTGTTCTTCACATAATAAAGAAAAGCTTCCCATGGATTTGCATGGTGATTAAGGAATGTTAATTCTCATTTTGACTGTGGAGTTGGAAAATTATGAGGGAGCTTAAGTTTTTAAGGTTACTATTATTTTTTAAAAGTTACTATTATTTATAAGATAAAAATCAAGAGTTTATTTTTTAGCAATTTGTTTATTCAGTGTCATCAATGGAAACAAACCTTGGAAAAGCACTCTTAATAGGACAAATTTTAAATTATAGAGAATAGTGCTATTTGAAAGGTAGAGTCTGATGCTGTTTATTTGGCTAAGGGTAACTTAGGTACTCTGAACTAAATTGCTTTGTTTCCTGCTTATGTGGTGTATTCTGAAATTTGTTTAAATAACTATGTTATAAATTGGCATTTTTATCATCTTTCTTATGGTTTCCCTCCCTTTCTTTAACTAAGGTGCTGTTACCAGATTTGTCTTCTGGGTGTAAATTAAACATGACCGAAGTTCAAGCAATGGTAGAATTCTCTGTGGAGCTGAACAAGTTCTACAACGTGGATTTATTCCAGAGAGGGTGTGTATTTTAATGGGAAAATTGTGTATGCTGCATAAGAAGCACGATTTTATCTTTCATTTTTGTGTATAAAAGGAAAACTGAACTATATTCAAGTCGTTTTTGAGAAATTTTGTTAATTATTTAGGAATTACATGGATTAGTGATAGTGCTGAATGTATTCAACATGTATTTATGAGTTTGCACTGTCCATTAAGCAAACTGTAATGAAAGCATGTAAGATCTCATTTTTACTCCTTAAAAGTTTATAATATAGTATGACTAATATAGTTTCTTGTAAATGCATGCAAAACAGCTAAGTAGAAATGCAGAGCATACGAGATAGAACTGCAGTGAGGATGCGTAGGTGTGTGGGACTTGGAACAGAAGGCCGTCTTTCTGGGTTGGGACTCTAGGGGAGTCACAGGAGAGACAGGATCAGAGTGAACAGGACTTGGGCAGGCCAAGGAAATATTTTAATGTCTAGGGAAGAACTGGCACTGTGGATTTAGGTCAGCACTAGTAATTGCCAAGTAAGATTAGAATTATCACTATTTGTATGAGCTCTTATTAACACAGTGGGAATCATGACAGCTTAAATGCATGCTTGCATAGTGGAAAAAGGAGCATCAGGGACAATTTAGAGGCATTTACAGTAACTCTACATACAAATCTGAAGGCCTATACTGGGTGGTGTGGGGTTATTACGACCAATAGAAGGTGTAGAATAAAAGACATTCTCTTTTTGTTGCTTTGGCTTTACCATCTTGTTGAAAAAATGAAACCGGCCATCTTACACTTATTTTTTGGCAGAAACAGAAGTCCAGGGAAGAGAACAGAAGATGCAGGGTCCCTTAAGTTGACAGACCATTTATTCCACTGTGGTCCCTTAGCAATGCAGGTCACAGGGCCAGTGGAGAGCCCAGAATGAATGTGTTGTTTTTTTGAGACAAGGTGTGGCCTGAAATCACTGATAGTCCTGAGGCTCTAGGTATGTGCCCCCACCCCCAGCTGGAAGGGTTGCATTTTGGCCAGTACCACTCACAGACATGGAGCTAGGCATGCTGCTGCCTGTCTGTGATTCCAGCACATGGGAGGCTGAGGCAGGAGGGTCCTAAGTTCAGTCAGCCTGGGCTACCTACTCAGTGCATATCTTTAAAAACAGGCAGGCAGTGAGCTTTCTGTATGCCAGCTGGGGTCCTTTCTGTGCCATAATCGCAGATTTTTTTCAAAGACTCTAGCTCTCAGAATGTAGTCACTGCTTCCCAGCCATCTGCATTCCTGTGGGATCTGGCCCATAAAGCTTCCTACGACCCGTTGGCCACGCTGAGATCTTCTCCTTAGACTGTGCCTTAATTCTTTCCATGAAAATCCCTGCTGGCAGTTCTTTGATTTTATCTTCGTCCATGGGCTTCATCTTTCTTTGAAAATCTTTTAAGAAGTGGAAACAGAAGTGTTCTATTTTCCAGCCAGCATGTCCTGGTGCCTCTCTTCACTCTAGATTCATCACATAAAATGACTACAGTTCCTTTGGCTGATTTTTCTCATACAGTCTTGTATGTACTTAAGTGCAGGTAGTTGACATTATTCAACTTTTGCTTGAAAATTAGCTTTCTTAGATCAAAATTTTCTTAGGTTCATGTCTGGCTTCTCCAAGTTATTATTAACTGTACATTTCATCTCTATATAACAGAATTACCATATTTTTTCATCCTGTACAATTTCTGTTATTTTTCACCTTCTGTAATTAGAACTGTTTCTCTCTCTCTCTCTCTCTCTCTCTCTCTCTCTCTCTCTCTCTCTCTCTCATTTACACACACACACACAAAACAGTTGGCCCACACAATTCTAGATGTTCATTGTTGCATTTGTCACTTACTCATACAATAAAGCATTGTAGTAATAAGCATTTGTGCCTGCTCACAAGTCTGTGGATCGTCTGAGTAGTTGTGCTGAGCTGGCTGGCGTGGCTGGTCTCTGCGGGTCTTGGGTCTCAGTCCCTAGTCAGCAGACAGGTTGGCTGGTTCTCAGGGCTGCAGAGTGGCCTCGGCTGGACAGGCTCAGCTCTGTTCTACAGTCTTTCATCTTGCAGTTTCTCTGAAAAGGGAGAGAACCTCATTCAAGGAGACCAGGGGCTGAAACGTGCACTGTCACCTCTGTTGCCGTGTATTGGCCAGGAAATGTCATACATAAGGCAGCTCAGCTGTAAGAGGTGGAGAGCACCAACATTCCAGTTCTTTCCATGGGTTGCATTATAAAGGTGTGAATAGGAGGAAGAACAGAAGCATTGGCCACATTTGTTAAATCAGTGTAGAGATTACACGTTGTGCATTTATTTTGTTTAAAATATAATTACCCAATGCTAATTGGTGTTTTTAAAAAGAAAGAGTAGTGGAGTTGGATTTACAGACTGATTTAGGTAGGAAACAATTTGTTTGCTTCAGCTACATTAACAGAAAGTTATTTGAAAAGCCATTAGCTGCCTTTTGTAAGATACTTTATTTATTTATTTTTTTTTTCTGTATTTGGGACGGGGTCTACAGGGTCTCAGTACGTAGATTGGATCATAGTGATTCTTCTGTTTTCAGCATCCCAAATGCTGGGAATACAGGCATGTGCCACCACGCCCAGTGTCAGTCACCATTTAAGGGCGCCCTGTGGGATCAAACCCAGGCCTCTGCACTGTGCCTAAGCAGGCACTTTAGTCTGCTGAGCTATCAGGCTGGCCCTGTAAGATACTTTTCATATTTGTATACGTGTGTGTAACTTCCTCTGACCTTTACACTGTAAAAGTTTAACAGAATATTAATATACCTGATAAATATTACATGGATCAGGTGCATTATACTGTGTAATAAATAGAAAACATAAAGTTGCTCTTTCCAAATAAAACAGTATTATTTTTATCACAGACGTTTAATCTGATTAAAATATGGTAAACTTCACTATGAGTCTGAGCTGGGTAGTGAGACCTTGTACCAAATACATTAAAAAAAAAAAAAAAATGCAGATATACCCAGAGCCTTTGTTGTGAGCCACATCTCCCAACATTTTGTTGTTGTTGTTGTTTCTTTGTTTGTTTTAAGATAATGTCTCCCTGAGACTTAAGTTATTCAGGCTGGATGTGAACTTGCAGTCCTCCTGCCTCAGCCTGTCAGAGTGCTGGGGTTACAGCTGTGTGCTACCAAGCCTGACTATTTTTATGTTTATTGTCTGTACCTTGGGGGTCCTATCCAAAAAATCATTGCCTACATCAAAGTCTTAACAGTGTTCTACATTTTCTTGTAATTCCACTCTTCCTTTTATTTAGGTTTTGAGGGATGTGTGTGTGTGGGGGGCTTGTCAGAAATCAGTTGGCTGTAATTTCGGAGTTCTGTTCCATGGGTCTGTGTATGTTTGTTTTTTGTTTTGTTGACAATACTACGCTGTTCCGGCTTGTGTTTAGCTGTCCCCTAAAGTGTCCTGTGGTCTCAGGTGGGGCTTTTTCAGAAGCCACTGGATCTAGAGTGTATGATGCTGAGATTCATAATGCAATGTTAAGATTTTTCGGTGGCGGGCTCAGCCTGCCCTGAGGGCAGGGCTGGCACAGCGTGTGGTGCTGGGGACCCTGTGTTTGCCAAAGCAGATGTTTTAGACCTCAGAGCTGTCTCACTGACTGCAACGCTAGGATTAAGGGTGTGAGTGCTGCCGGCCCTAAGTAGCCTGGATGAGATGGAAGGGGCCAAAAGAGCTGCGGTCAGCCCCTGCTGGGTGCGGCTGGCTTCTGCCTGTGCGGAGCCGGAGCCCTGTGTGCTCTGCGATGCTTTGCTGCCGCATGTCATTCCTTCTGCTTTGGAGCCACCCACCTGTGGACCTGGAGTCTTGGTGAACTGCAGGCCGCGTAAACTCCTCTTCTAACTGTGGGCATTGGCTATTGCTTTCTCAGTGGAGAAAGCGGCTGAGACACACGCTGCTTTAGTCAGAGCTTTGTAGTAGTCAGATGTTAGGGTGGCTCCAGCATTGTTTTTTGTTGTTTATTCAGGATTGCTTCAGCTACTCTGGGGTTTTTGTTCTGTATAAATTTTAGAATTGTTCTTTCTGTTTCTGTGAGGAAAATTGTTAATATTTTGTTGGGAATCGGCTTTGAAATTAAGAATGGCTTTGAGCAATATGATCATTTAAACAGTATTGATTATTCTAATCCATGAACATGGGCCATCTTTCCACTTTTTGTGTGTCCATGTAATTTCATTAGTTTTTATAGTTGTAGAGATCTTTAATTTTCTTGGCTAAATTCATTCCTAAATGTTTCATTACTGTTGTAGCTATTGTGAATTATTTATTGTTTTGTTTCTGAAGTTCATTATTGATGTATAAAAATGCTTCTACTTTTAAAGAAATATTTATTTGGGATAGGGTCTTGCTATGCAGCTTGGACTCATGGTAATCCTCCTGTCTTGGCCTCCCCAGTGTTGGGATTATAGTTGGGTACCACTACACCCAGTTTTGGTGGCTGGCTTGATGCAGGGCCAGCATGGCATGTGGTACCGGGGATCAAACCTAGGTCCTTGTGCTTGCCAAGCAGGCATTTGGACTGCTGAGCTATCTCCCCAGCCTGCTCCTGTTTTGTTTTGTTTTAGGTTTGTTTTTGTTTTTGCAGTGATTTTGTATCCCACAGCTTTACTGAATTTGTTTATGTCATTATTCATTATTTCTTTCTTGTTTTCATATGTCCTCTTGACTCAGTTTTGTTAGGTTGTATGTTTAGGAATTCATTTGTTTCTTTTTAAAGTTTTTAAGCATATAATTCCTAGTATTTTCTCATTTTTAATTGTAGAGCTTAAATTCTAGCATTTCATTTTTTATCCCTGATTTTATTTATTTAGTTCAACCCTTTTTTTTCTTGGTCAGTCTCACTCAAGATTTTTCAATTTTATTTGTTCTTTTAAGAAAAGTCAATAAGGACTGGCCAAATAGCTCAGTGGATTAAAGTGCTTGCAAGGAGATGCAGGGGCCAGGGGTTCAATACCTGGGCCTGCCATGCCGCCCCCATCCGTGGGGCACCCTAAGATAGCAATTGAGACTGGGCATGGTGGCACGCGCCTGTAATCCCAGCTCTTGGGTGGCTGTAAACAGGAGATTCACTACAAGTCTGATCTAGTAGTGAGACTCTGAACACCCTGTAGTCCCTTCCTTAAAATACAGAGGAGAAGAAAAATCAAGTCTTTATTTCATTGATCTTTTGTTTTGCTCTTTTATCTTCAGTTTTATTTACTTACATCCTGATCTTCTTTTCTTGTTGGTTGGTTCTTTTCTAAATCTTTTGAGGTACATTGTTAGCTTATGTGAAGTATTTCTAGTTTTTTGATATATACGTTTCTTTCTATAAACTTCCCTCTTAGTGTGCTACTTTGACTGTATCCCAGACTTTGGTGTGTTGTATAGTCATTAGTATCTAAAAATTATATTTTCCTTTTATTTCTTTTCTTTCTCATTAGTTATTTTAGGAGCATGATACTCAATTCCCGTGTTCTCTATTCTTGTTGACTTGATTTAATATTGGTCATAGTCTTAGAAGATACATTATGGTATATTATTTATTTTTTAAAAAAATTATTGAGACTTGATTGTGGCTTCACATATAATCTGTCCTGGAGAATGTGTCATTTTCTGAAGGGAAGAACAGATACTGTACTACTGTTGAATAGAATGTTCTGTAAATGACTGCTAGGTTCTTTTGCTCTTTTAGTACGGAACAACTCAGATGTTTGTTGATTTTTTTTTTCCACTGAGGAAAGTAAAGTGTTGAAATTCCCCACCATTATTGCTAAGAGTTCCTAGAAAATTGTGTTGTTCTGATTAAGCTGATTTGTTTTTAATCTCATGTTTTGAAGCAGACCTCATCTTAATTTCAACTAATTCTCTATCTCTATAGAGTTTGATCATGTTCTTATCCCTTTACCCTTTCCTTTACTAATTCTTTAATTCTCCTTTTGTGATCTGGCTCTATATTTTTTCCAATTTTTGTATTATTTGCTGATTTAATAATTTAACGTGCTCTAGAATTTGTGTGTGTGTGTGTGTGTGTGTGTGTGTGTGTATGAGAGAGAGAGAGATTCTTGTTACGCATTTTGGAGTGAGCTGATATAATTATGTCAACTTGTGCTCACTTCGTAGACCCATGCTAATCTCAAACTCACAGTGATTCTCCTGTTTCAACCTCCTAAGTGTTGGGATTACAGCAGTGCACCACCACACCCAGTTCTGGGCTGGGGATTGAACTCCCTACCTTGGGCTAGCCAGGCAAGCACTTATGCCGCTGAGCTATCTCCCCAACTCCTAGAAAATTATTATTGAAAAATAAATATTAAATACTCGCTGGGGAGACTAGGGTACCAGTGTGTGTATATATGTAAATTCTTTCAAATAAGTAAGCAGATAAAAATACATAAACAAATAGGTCTTAACTTGGAAAAAAAAATGTAAGTTTCTTTTTTTTTTCTTTTTGTGGTACCGGGGATTGAACTCAGGACCTTGTGCTTGCCAGGCAAGCACTTATTCTAAGCTATCTCCCCAGGACCCCTAAGTTTCTTAAACCAAATACATACCTTTATTTTGTCACAGTATTGAGCCATTTTTGAAAAACATATATAACTTTTCTGATATTTTCTCCAAATTATATTTAAGAGTAATGTCATATTTTAAAAGAAAATCAACAAACCAATTAGTAAAACTCTCAGCTGCCTTTCTGATTGCATGCTGCCATCAGATTCTCTCATAGAAAGTGAGAAATCCATATGCATTGCTTCTGTTTCTCTCATTCATCTTTGTACCTGCTGGGTTGCCATTTCTTGGTATGTCCTATTTGATATGTTAGTCTGAGAATGTTATCCCATGTCACGGAAAACTGATATACTTGTATTATTTTAATAGGTGAAAATGTAGAAATTGCAGTATAGCATATTTTGAAATCATTTCCTTGTTTATTTTTGTTATAGTTTTTACCAGATTCGTGCATCTATGAAAATTCCACCAAGAATTCCCCACAAAGTAGAAGCCAGTTTGTTACATGCAACAGGTAAGTCAAGGAATATTTTCAAGTTGAAAAGGAAATCTGTAGGAAAATTAGTGGTCAGTAATTCTTCTCATTGTAAATATAAGATATTAAATGGTGTGGTGGTGATGTATTTGGGCCAAGTAAATAAGCTTGATTATAGGTAACTATTTTTTTGATTTCTTACAACAAACACATAAAAAAAGCTTATGAAAGTGTAATGAAAATGAACATAAGTAGAATCAATTATATTGTATAAGATGTCATTTAAAAAGACACAGTGCATGTACCCATGCAATTTGTCCTATAACTACAAAGACATTTTACAGTAAAATTTACAAAATGCATTTTGAGAGCATTGTTTTTACCTTTCTTTCATTTTAGGTGGGGAGGGATGAATTACTCTAATTAGAAAACAAAGAGCTAGATAACAGTGTTGGAAGGTATAAAATAGGTGTATTATAGCAGTTACTATTTCCTCCTGCTCTTCAGTGAAACACCAATATTTAAGGGGTTTAAGCTAAAATGAGTGGCCCTGTCTGTTGGCTTTTTCAATGAAGTATATAGGTCAAGCATATCTAGTCTGAAAATCTGACATCTGAAATATTTTAAGATCTAAAACCTTTTTGAAAATGAAGCAGAAAATTTTATATTTCATATGAAAGCTTGTCAAAACAGACACACAATTTATTATATAAGATCACCTTTAGCCTATGTATACAAAGTGTTATATAAAAAACAAATGAATTTTATGTTTAGACTTGGTATTATGTATATATAAGTATTCCATAATCTTAAAAATTTGACATCCAAAACACTTCTTGGGCCGGCCAGAAAGCTCAGCAGACTAAGCGCCTGCTTAGGCAGATGCAGGGGCCGGGGGTTCGATCCCTGGCCTGCTGTGCCAGCCCCGCCCCCGCTAAGAGGGTGATTGAGACTGGGCATCGTGGCATGCGCCTGTAATTCCAGGACTTGGGAGGCTGAAAACAGGAGGATCACTATGAGTCCTATCTATGCAGTGAGACCCTGTAGACCCTATGCTGAATAAAAACAAGACACGTCTTGGTCCCAAGAAGTGGGACCTTAAGCTTACTACATAGTTCAGGCTGGTCCTGAACTCCATTCTCCTGCCTGGGCCTCCTGAGTGCTGGAATGACAGGCGTGCTCCACCATGCCTCACTCCGCTTTTGTTATCAGAAAGGCTGGAGATTTGAACTGTTTAGTATGTTTTCTCATTCCGGGACATTTAAGTGCTCGTTAATGCTACAGTTTGATGATTTGTACTTCATGGACAGTTTGTTCTTTTTGAAGCCTATCAGAATCTGCAAGAAAGCCCATTGTTTAGGACCAAAAAATGAAAAATAGCTTTGTGCTCTTAAAAAGGAAGAAAGTTTCTTTCTTAACCTGGCCTATGTTTTTGTGTGTGTGTTTATTGTCAAGTAGACTTTCTTTTGTAAGTCTACTTTTGAGAAACACAGAGGCATTAAAATAACTGATGTTACACAGTGGATTTCATTGTCCCTTTGAACTTCCTTAAAACTAGTAGAGGAAGTTTCTTCATCTATTTTGTCTGACACTGCCATTTGAAAAAGTTAGAAGAGATGTCAGACAGTATTTTGCTTTCGAGATGTTTGACGTAATTTTAAAAGGCCAAATAAGTACCTTAAGGACTGAATTTTCTACATTGAATCAATTTTTTCTTCGTTCTTATGGTTGTGAGCAAACTAAGCCTGTGAATATTAATTCTCAACAGCTGAAGTTCTCTTAGTTTGTGGGCCTGAGGGAGGTTTTGAAAAATGATTATCCATGCTGAAGTTAGCACTTTTTTATATTGATTCACTTTGATTTAGAATTAATAACATGATACAGCTTTTTAAATGTTTGGATATGAAATTAATTAACTCAGGGAAAAAATCAACACTGAAGAGAGGGGGAGAAGAGATACTTGCAGAAAAGATCTGAGAGGACATGGACAAAGCAAGACAGATCTTTGCAAATGATTGGCCGAAAGCCCAAAAGGAATATGCCAGAAGAAAAAGCAGTGCTTTCCTAACCTCAGGCTGTGTAATTTTCTTTATATGGAGCCTGGATAGCTCCTCATTAATGCCAGGTTTGATTTCTTCATTCTTTTATTATTGCTTTTCTGGAAAATAGACTTCATAATAAAGAAAGGTAAAACTATTACAGCAAACTTTTTTTTTTTTGTTTTGTTTTGGTGGAACCAAGGATTGAACTCAGGCCCTTGTGCTTGCCAGGGAAGCACTTATTCTACTGAGCCATCTCCCCAGCCTACAACAGACTTTTTAATCATTAATTTTATTTTACTATCTTTCAAAAACATTTAAAGTAGTATTTCCACCTTATATTTTTAATATTTTAAATAACTATCTCAAAGGACTCAAAAGTTTTAGCTTTGCTTGTTATTACAAAGTAATTCCAAGAAAGATTGTAAATATTGGCATTAATAGTGAATGCAAATGATGATTGGTAGACAAATCCACCACTAGAAAGTAAGATCTTTCCAATTATTTAGGGTGTTATAGAACAGTGGTGGCGAACCTCTGCATACATGCCACAGCAGGTTGCTGACTACTCCAAAAGGTTCGCTGTCACTGCTTTAGCCAATAGAGTTAAATGTTGCAAAATTTATTGTGGTTGGTTCATTTCATCTAAAGTAACTTGCTTAGTGGTAGCCTTATAACTTCCTCTTTGCAATACATTATCTTGACGTAAACCTAATGGAACCATTTCCTCCAGCTGTCATGTCACTGATGAGTTGAGGATAAGAAAGGCTTCAGAAGTGGCTTTGTGGCTGTGAGGAGTAAGTTAGCCAGCAGTATCTAACCCATTACTGCCTGTCAGATTCCCCCAAGTCCGGGAGTGTCTCTGCTACTTTGTTTCTGTTCTTCCGGGAAGGCCTTTTGCCCCAGTTAGGAGCATGCTGGCCTCATAGCCACATAGTTCCGAGGTAGGCGTCTGGCAGGGTTCCTAGCAGCCAGCAGTTGCAGTTACGTGCAGCTGGATGTGCCGTCCAGCGTTTTCTGGCTGGTGAGAGCATCCCAAAGCCTGAGGACTCAGCACACACTATGTTGGAAAGCACACAGAGGTCCTCTGTGGCAGCATGGAGACCTTTCTGTTTCTTGGTGTCTTTCGTCTTACAGTTCTTCCAAAGCTTTTTGCTTGTTCTGACTTCAGTAACTTGTGAGCTAAATGCATCCCTAGTAGTGTTTGAGTCACTGCCTGCTTACTGTAACAGCTGGTCTCCAGACTGGTCTCTAGGGACTCATCTGTTAAGTTTATTGATAGTGACATGGAGATTCTTTCCATAGATAATTTCAAGGCCCCAAATCATTATTCAATCGTCATATCACATGATACCTTATCTCTGAAATCTTAGCAGTACCGATATTGTGACATTTGGATTTAGCTGCTTCTTCTTCCACAGCCTTACTCCATTTGATGTTTTGCTTTCAAGTGAATATGGTTGCTCAGTTTACTCAGTTTGGCTTTGACCAGAAAGTGGAAATTTTATTGCCTTCTTTGTCTTTTTAAGAAAGGTATTCTAAAAAAAAGAAAGAAAGGTACTCCAGAAGATAGGCTTATTTTATGGGTAAATCCATTTGAGTCAAGCCCTGTGATTATTACTCTCCACTGACTAAGTATTGGTAGGAAAAGATTCGGTTTTTACCACAATTAGTATAAATCAGGGTTCAACTACTAGGCCAATTGGCAAAAATATAACTAATGTCACTAAAAAGTGTAGTGACAGTGTGTATTTCAGAAATGGCCAATTAGGGATCTTTCTCTTTTTCAGCCTTTTCTTAGTGACTGTGATTGTGTTTTCTTGATTCTAAGTCCAGATTTTGTCGCTGTTGCTGCCAGTTCAGTGTCTAAGCCCTGGGAGCAGCTGTGAAGTGTGGCTGACCTGAGAGGATACTAGGATGTAGAAAGGGGATGTTACCTAAAAGTGGGCAGCTCATGGCAGATTCTGGTCAACAAAGAAGCCTGGTTTGGGGGAAAAATAGACTTCCTTGATAAGTAATTGTAACTTTTTGTAAAAACATTATCCATGTATTTTCATAATATTGTACCAGAAATTTATGTATTTGGTACAGGGTCTTGCTAGTGCTCAGACTCACCAGTCCTCCTGTTTCAGCTTCCCCAGCCCTGGGATTACAGGTGTGCACCACCATGCCCGGTTCTGGTGGCCTGCTTGGTGGGCCCAGGGCAGGGCTGGCACAGCGTGTGGAGCTGGCAGAAACTGCATACTTTTATTTAAACTGCAACAATCAAAGTGACAAACAAAACTACATTTTGGACAGAAGGAAAAAAACTATCAAAACTTTCGCACTTTTTTCTCACCTTCTGTCCAAAAGACAAACTCTTCTCTGCATATCTGAAATGTAAACCATATATAACATCTCAAGATCTTTTCTATTCCAGATGTACTGATGATTGTACGCCTCTGCTGATTAGTTTTGAGGCATTGTTTCTGTTCTTTATGTCCTTCCCTCGTTACGATTTATTTCATTTTAAAATACCATTAAGGAATGCCTGGAATGTGTATCTTCTTAATATTTATAAATTTGTGTGGGAAATATCCTTCCAAAAATGTTTCATCTCAGAAATCCCTTCTCTGTGTTTATCTTAATAGATACATGGAATAATATTTTAGCCTTATCCATAATATAATATCCTAATTTTACTTAGGATAATTTCTCTTTATATTTTGTATTAATTCTCTTTCATTTCTATTCTTATTTTGCTTTTTTTTTTTTTTTTTTTTTTGGTAGAACCAGGGATTGAACTCAGGCCCTTGTGCTTGCCAGGCAAGCACTTATTCTGCTGAGCCATCTCCCTGGCCCTCATTTCTATTCTCTAAAAATCTTTTAAATCTCCTTTTCCTCTAAAGGCTTGGATTTTCTTAGTGCTTTTTATATCTGATGTTTTTCTTTGATATATGCATTCATCTTTTTTTTTCTTTTCAAAGTTTTATTGATAAACATATAGCAATGAGACAGTTT